CACTAAGGGAGAAAGAATGGGTCTATTTGCAATCCCTAATGTACAAATCATGGAGTGACACAATCACCTTTTCCAGGTTCCTCTGGTTAGAGAAGCAAGTCAGATTCCACTCATCATTTCAAAGGGAGGGGATCATACAAAGGCACGAATTCTATGAGGAAAGGCATATTGGGAATCACCGTCAAGTCCCTCCACTGTGGCCATAGAATCTTGTGTCCTGACTTCTGATACTGGCAAAAAATCCAGTACCCCATGCCCAGTAGTTCCCAGTGTAGATACTCTGAATGGTACTTGGGTATCTACAAGTATGTCCAAAAAAGCTTCAGAAGAGTAAAATTAGTAAGTATACAAACTAACATAAATCACTATTAATGTTTCTTTTATTATGAAGAAATTTTAAATATACACAAAAGTAGAATGACATAATGAACCTTTGTGACTCCGTCACTCAGACCTAAGAGCTGCCAACTCACAACCAGTTTTGCCCAATGCACAACTCTTTTTTTAAATTAATTTTTATTAGTGAAACACCATGAGGTACAGTTATAGACTTACAAATTTTTGTACTTGGGTTTCACTTATACAATGATCAAATACCCATTCCTCCACCAGTGCCCATTTTCCACCACTATGGGTCCCAGTATCCCACCCTGCCTCTGTGGCAGGGCATTCCCTTTTGTTCTCTCGCACAACTCTTTACTTTTTTTTTCTTTTTGGGTCATACCCAGCGATGCACAGGGGTTACTCCTGGCTCTGCACTCAGGAGACCATGTGGGATACTGGGAATCGAACCCGGGTCAGCCACGTGCAAGGCAAACGCCCTACCTGCTGTGCTAACAATCCAGCCCCACTACTCTTTACTTTTAAATTATTGAAAAAATCCAGACTTCCTAGAATTTCATCCACAGATATCTATGTCTAAGAAAGAACTTCATTTTATTTATTATTTTTTAAATTTATTATTATTATTATTATTATTATTATTATTTTGAACGGGCTGGAGTGATAGCACAGCAGGTAGGGCATTTGCCTTGCAAGCAGCCAACATGGCCCGACCTGGGCTCAATTCAGAGAGCCCGGAAAGCTACCAAGAGTATCTCGCCCCCACGGCAAAGCCTGCAAGCTACCCGTGATGTATTCAATATGCCAAACACAGTAACAATTGTCAGAATGGAGACATTACTGGGCCCGCTTGAGCAAAATCGATGAACAATGGGAGGATAGTGACAGTGATTATTTTGAATAACTTTATTAAGTCATTAGTTTAGTTCCAGACATCCGATATTCCACCACCAATCCCACCACCATTGCACTTTCCTACCACCATTACTTCTAATTTTCCCAGGCACACTTGAGCCTGCTCCCATAGCAGGCCCTCAGGAAACAAGATATAACAGAAAAAGACCTCGAAATAGCGCTTGGGCGAATAAGAGACCTAGGGGATAAATTCAAGAGGAACAACATAAGAATCATTGGAGTACCAGAAGGATAGGAAGGCAACTCCAATGAAGTATCAATAGTTCTTTTTTTGGGTTTATTTATTTATTTTTTAAATTTTTTAAATTTTTATTAGTGAGACACCATGAGGTAGTTGTAGACTTACAAATTTTTGTGCTTGGGTTTCAATTATACAATGATCAAATACCCATCCCTCCACCAGTGCCCAGAAGTATCAGTAGTTAAAGATATCAATTGATGAGAAGTTCCCAGGGTGCAGAATAAAAAAAAAAACCTTTGTTTTAAAAAAACATTCTACCATTACCTCACATAAAAGTCTTAATATCAAATATGTAATACTCCAATTTCTATTGTCTTCTGTCATCATTTATTGTTTTAACCTAAATGTTACCCATACATTTAATGCTAAATATATCATTTAAATCTCTTTTAACCTGCATGTTCCCCTTCCATTCCTTTTTCTCCTTTTTGTTCTTGAACTTTATTTGTTGAGGAGCTTTGGGCTCTGTTTTTTCTTTTCTGGTTGCTCAGCCTGGAACTTGCTGATACATTCCAATTTTTAAAAGTGAGCTTATTGCAGAATCAACTCTGCAAATACTTTCACAGATTTACTAAATGAATGGTCTTTTTCTCAGTAATTATGTCATCTTTCTTTTCTTTCCTCCCTGCTTCCTGAATTCATTTATCTCGATCACCTCTGAATCAATAACAAAAAAGTTTCACAAAACTGCCATCTGCTTTCCCCTGGGGTTTATATCTTAAGACAAATTTTCCTCAATTGAATTCAAATTGAATAAGAACATTGAAACTAAGGATCCCTCATTAGACAGTTTGTTATTTCAAAGCATTTTCTATTTACTGTGCCTTATTTAGAATATAGTGTAATCCTGTGAAGGCAGTTCTGTTTGTTCAAAATGGCATATAATTGGGAATAATTACTATTCCCTATCTGACATAAAGTCTCTCAAGTTTTTTTTATTAGAGAAATTAAATTTATTAGAAACATTGTACCATCTGAATCTATTAATAAAACATTCCCTTTTCCTTTTTCCAAATTAATAAGGTTGTACAGATTCAGAAAATAATCACAATTTAAAATATAAATTTAAATAGCATTAAATAGTAGTTTGTGTTGATTGTAAATTTCTTTTTATAGCATCCAGAGAATATATGTAATTTTTTCAAAGGGACTTTTAGGCTTGTTATTTTGGGGGCAGTCTCCCAAGTCGTGCTTCATGGCCCTTAGAATAGTGGTTCAATGTATGGGTCTGAGGACGCAGTGCCGGTCTGGTGGTTGTGTAGTGTCTGCGATTACTCAGACCACTCTGGCAGTACTTTGGGACCTCCAGGGCCAAACCTGGTTGTGCTGGGGATTGAGAGATGCCCTGCATTCCTGCACCCCGCTATGCTTTTGGTGATTATATACAGTGACCAGGGTTGAACTGAGGTCAGTTGCATGCAAGGCAAGTTCCTTAACCCCTGTACTGTCTTTCCATCTCTCTTAGACATTTTTTTAAAAATAAAATCCTGCAGTTCCTTTCTCTCCCTGTCATTTCCCTGATTCTTATTCCCTGTAGGCACTCAGCAGTCTGCCAATCTACTTTCCTAAATGTTGTTGACATCTCTCATTAACTGTCATTGTTTTTCTTGATTTCTTTGCCCTTGGTGGAGAAAGCTATGCCTTTAAAAAAAACTAACTCCTCCTCTGCTGTTTTAATCATGTTTGAAAAGAAGTAGATATATATGTTTGTATGTTTGCTTCCTATATTTACCTTGTAGTTCACCATATTTTCACTTTCTAGTTCCTTTGCCAAGAGTCCAGAATGACAAAAATAAAAAAAATTGATACCCAACCACTCTACCTACACCGTCACCCTCTAATTTGAGGAAATGGGTCTTTGATGGCATAGCAGAAGTATGTCCAGTCTCCTGACTGCGCAGGAGAACCCAGAAATGTGTCCCTTTTCCTCCTTGCGCAGGACTGTAGTGTTACTCTTAGCCACTCCTCATGCAACTTTTGCATGGGCTCTCCTCCCTTTGGAGCACTTGCCCTCTAATCTTTTATGATTTCAGGGTGACCTTTTGCAGCAATGTACTGGGAAGTATCTAATGAATGGCCCTGCAGAAGGAAATACATCCTGATTTGTAGCATTTGCTCATTTGGGTGGTGTAGCTACCACCATGGCTGAGCTCAGGCTTCCAGTGCCACTGGGTGTTGAAAAGAAAGTGTCTACTTGGGCAGCATGAGCAGACTTCAGGACAACATTGTCTTTCAAGCACAAGCCAGGGCTCTCCATTTAGGATGGCTAGACTTAGGGATGGGCTGGAGCGATAGCACAGTGGGTAGGGTGTTTGCCTTGTATGCTGCCGACCTGGCCGAGCCGGGTTTGATTTTTCTGTCCCTCTCGGAGAGCCCAGCAAGCTACTGAGAGTATCCTGCCCACACGGCAGAGCCTGGCAAGCTCCCTGTGGCGTATTGGATATGCCAAAAACAGTAACAACAAATTTCACAATGGAGACATTACTGGTGCCCGCTCAAGCCAAATCTATGAACAATGGGAGGACAGTGCTACAGGTTTAAGGATGAAGTGGTTTTGGTCTTTCCATTCACTGCCTCAGTTCTTGCTATGTTGATGCATTTAAAATTTTTTTTGTGTGTGTAGGGGGCCAGTGTGTGTTGGTGACTGATAGTGGTACGGAGGGACCATAAGGGGTTTGGAATCAGACTTGGGCCTCCTGATTGCAATGTGTGCACTCTAGGGCTGGAACAATAGCACAGCAGGTAAGGCATTTGCCTTGCATGTGGCCAACCCGAGTTCGACTCCCAGCATCCCATGTGGTCCTCTGTACAACTCCAGGAAAAATTCCTGAGTGCAGAGCCAGGAGTAACCCCTGTGCATCGCTGGGTGTGACCCAAAAAGCAAAAAAAAAGTGTGCACTCCAACCCTTTGATCTATTTCTCTAGTCCCCTCCTCTGATGTATTTTTTCTGTATTGATTCTGCCAAACCTTCACTGTGCCTGGACTATCTGATACTGCCAGTCTAGACACCTGAGACTCCAGGCTGATTCAAGAGGATTCCCCAGTTCTTCTTTATCTTCTATCAAGTAAAATGTGTGTGGAGGGCCAGAGAAATTGTACAGCAGAGAATATGCTTGCCTTGCATGCAGTTGACCTTGGTTCCAGCCCTAGGACCCCATATGCTTCATATAACACCCCCCCCCAAGCACTGCCAGGGATGATCCTTGAGCACAGAGGCAAGAATAAGCCCTGAGCACTGTCAGTATGGCTCCAAAGCCAAAATTAAACAAACACAATGTGTTCTAAGCTGCTGCTAATTTTATTATGTGTTTACCTTGCTTCAATGTCCTCAGAGGAATCTCTTTGGAAAACGACTCTCATGCACAAGTGTGAAAGTGATGGTTTGTGGACATTATGTCTGGTCCAGGTAAACTGTCTAATGATGCTACGCTGAAGGAAGTATCAGGTAACTGGGATTCCTTGTTTTGAAATTCTGTTGATGGTGTTTTCTTTCCTGCACAGCGGACCGACCTGTCAGAGTATATGCGGATGGGATATTTGACCTCTTCCATTCAGGCCATGCGAGGGCACTTATGCAGGCAAAAACACTGTTTCCCAACAGCTACTTACTGGTGGGAGGTAAGAAGTGCATTTCTCTTAAAACTCCCTTATATACAGCATATGCCCTGAAAAGGTCTCCTTTCAGAGTTCCAGCATTAAAACTTCACAGTTAATAGTCTTGATTCTGCTCAGACTGGCTCACTTGTTCACTGTTTGAAATTTTAAATGATGATTAAAGAAACACAGGGGAAATTGCATCATGGAATTGTGCACCATTGATCCCCAGAGAGAGACAGGCTATTAATACGACCAGCGGTAAGGGTAAGTGCTTCATGGTTCCCATTAATGCCTTTCTTCTTGTATTTGAGGCCTGATCCAATTTATCTTTTCCCCTTTTTTGTGGGGGGGCACACTTGGCGATACTCAGGGGTTGCTCCCAACTCTGTACTCTGGGATTACTCCTGGTGGTGCTCAGGGGACCAGCCTGGAGTCTCAGGTGTCTAAGCTGGCATATGGGATGCTGGTGATCAAACCCAGGTTGGCTTTGTGTAAGGCAAGTGCCCTACCCACTTTACTATTTATCCAGCCCCTCCAATTCATTTTTCTATAATTTTCTAATGAGTATAGAGAAATGTAATATCCTTCTGGTTTTGAATCTTGAATATGTGTGAGGATTTAGGAAATTAAGGTTAAACGAAGTCATTACCCATTTCCTTTATGCGATCCCTGATACTTGGGACTACATTGTGCTGCCTGTAGTGGCTTGCAAGAACCATAATTACTTGACTGTGCATAATATGTCAAAGAAATGGAGGTTTGTGCACTTAGGTAATTTCCGTTTACAGTGAAGAAATTGATGCACTAAGTTTGTGGAGAGGGACAGGGGTGGTTACCTGTGAATCTAAACTTTCCTCCTTGAGAAGGCCTATAGATTTTAATGCAGGTGAAAGAAATAGTATCTGATGAGGATAACCTGTCTCTCACCTCTATACCTTCTAGATGCAGCATATCTGTTTACCGTGGTCAGTTTTGGCAATAGTGCATGATCCAGGCATGCTCAAGCCTTAGACTGTTACTGTGAAGGAAAGGTAGTTGATAGGAGATGGTGTGTCTGTGCTTTTTTTGTCAGCCACTGCAAGTTTAAAACTATTTTGGGGTGATTGAGGAGTTGGTAGATGGGGATATTTTGATAGCACAGTGGCACTAGAATTTCGGTTGTGGGAATGTTGAGACTTACACATTTATAGAGGTGGAAAGCTGTCATTCCAAACTATTGTATTATTGCTAACCAATGGAAAACCAATAAAATTTTCATAAAATATAAAATTTTACCTGAACTTCACCCTTCCCGCAATCATGAATATGAATAGGAACTGAAGCAGTATGACCCAAAAGCTATTAAAGAAATAGTATATAAATCTCTGGGAACAGTAACAAAGAATGAGAATTTAGAAGCAACCTAAACCATAATAAAAAATTTTCAACATGTTATCTTCTCCATTGATTTTTTATTTTCCAGTTTCAAATAATTTGATCATAGGACTAGGGAGATAGTCCAGGGGTTAGAGCATCTTCTTTACATAGGCTTGACCCAGGGTTGATCTCTGGCACCACATGGCCCTCTGAGCACTGCCCTGGAATCCTCTAAATACTGCTGGGGTGGACATCATGGTCACCACTGCAGGACCAAAACAGCACCCCGCTGTTAGCTCATCGTACTAAGCTGCTGGACCAGTTGGTGAAGTTATCAACAGGAGTAGCCTTTACTTGGGACTCCAACACCCCCCCCAATAAAATGATTGAATGGCAGTCCTATAAAATGTTGAAGCCATTCTATTAGTAAAATCCAATGTGATCAGTATTTAGTGCTTCTGTTTATCTGTTTGTATTTGATTGCAGGTCTGTGAGATGGAATCTCCTACCTTCTTCATGTAGACAGAGCTCTATTGAGTCAATTTATTGGAGCTTGAATCCCATGAGTGGCATTGCTGTAGTACACATATTTGTGTATAATTGCCAACAAGATAAAGTATAATCATCTTTTGTTTTTTGTAGCATGGCTTTTCTTTAAAATTTAACATCTATAACAGCTGTTTCAGGAATACTTTGTAACTGCACGTAAAACAAAGTTAGGTTCTGAACTCTATTTTAATTGAATATGCAGGGATGTTCACAAGTCTTGTGGGATATGGAAAACTTCTTATGTGGAGCTGTCATGCATATTGTGAGATATTAAATGTCATTGGCATTCTGTCCACTAAATGCCAATCGCTTCCTCCAATTATTGTGGCAACCATGCTCCATGACTTCCCATACTTCATAAGATGTGGCAAATTCCTGTGAAAGTCATTTTGTTGGTCTTCAAATTTTGGTTCCCATAGCTTTTGAGAGAATTCTGAAAGTCTACATACCTTCTTCCAAATGTTTTAGTTGAAATTAAAAATAATTTCATCCTAAGTTAAAATGGATGTGGTGCTGCAGTGATAGTACACCAGGTAGGGTGCTTGCCTTGCATGCTGCTGAGCTGGGTTTGGTCCCCGGCATACCATATGGTCCCCTGATCACTGCCAGGAGTGATTGCTGAGATCAGATCCAGGAGTAATTCCTGAGCACACTGACTGTGACCCAAAAGCCGAAACAAAGTCAAGTTGTTCTTTTTCCCTGTTGTTGAGTTCTAAGAGTTCTTTACATAGTTCAGATAAAAAATTTTTATCAGATACATCTTTTTCAAATATTTTCTCTGACTGTGTGTTGTCTTCGCATTACCTCGACATTGTCTTTCACAGAATAGAAGTTTGGCATTTTACTAAAGTCTAGTTTATCCATTGTGTCTTAGACATTTTGTAACTTTGGTGTTGTGTATGAAAAGTCACTGCTGTGTTGTGGGAGAGGTAGCTGAGTGCATGTGCTCTGATCCCTGGGATCAGTAGGCCCACATCTGATCCCAGCCATCACATATCCCTGGAACACAGAACTGGGAGTTAATAATTGAGCGCTGCCAGGTGAGGCTTCCCCTAAAAGTCGTTGCCATACTCAAGGTCATCTCAGTTTTCTCTATTATCTTCTTAGGAGTTTTAGACTCTGGTGTTTTATATTTAGATGCATGTATGTTCCATTGACACTTAGGTGCATATATTTGAGTTCATTTTTGTGAAAGTTTGTGCCTAGATTCATTTTTTTGCATATAGGTGTAATGTGTAATGAGTAATGTTCCCATACCATTTATTTTAAAGACTTTGTTCCACTGTGCAACTTTGTTTCTTTGACAAAGATCAGTTTAATATAGTTATATAGGTCTGGTTCTGGGCTAGTTTTCTTGTTCCCTTACTCTATTTGTTTATTTTCACCATACCATACTTTTTAAATAGTGTAGTTCTACAGTATCTATTGAAGTTGAATTGCGAAATTATTCTGTTTTTGTTCTGCTCCTGGTGAGGGAGAAATCTTTAACTTGTTCTTGAGCTTATGTTAAATCTTTAAGTTTACAATTAATTATGATATTAGCTATAGTTTTTTAGGTGGTCTTTATCAAGCTGAGACAGTTACCCTTTATTCCTAGTTTGCCAAGAGGGTTTTTCTTTTATCATGAATAACTGTTGGATTATATCAAATTCTTTTTCTACATTTGTTGATATGATTGTGTGGTATTCTTTATGTGGTTAGTGTGTTGATTATATTAATTTATGAATTATTGTCTAATAGTTATGCTATTTTACCCCTTCCCTTCCTTTTCTGTTATTGCAGTACCATAGATTGTGCATACTTGGCTGTGGTGCTTGCTGGGAGTTGCACACTTAACTTCTGGTGCTCACACACACTTGGTTTTGATATACTGGAGATCATACACTTGTGGTGGCACTGGGGACCTTAAAAGGCAGTGCCTCTGCCATTATACTAGGGTACGTAGATGGCACCAAGGATTGAACTGATGGTCTTACAATTGCAAGGCAGGTGCTTTATGACTGAATTAGTCCCAGGTCCTGATCACAATAACTTTTGAGTGTTAAACCAGACTTGCATACCTGAGATAAATCTCATTTGGTCATGGTGTATAATTCCAGTACATTGTTATATTGATTTGTTTTTTTTTAAGGTTCTGCAGCTATGTTCACAAGAAAGATAGGTCTGTAGTATTTTTGTGTGTAATATATTTCTTTTGGTGTTATGGTAGTTTAATAAAATGAGTTGGGAGACATTCTCTGAAAAAACTGTAGAGAACTGGTATTGTTTCTTCCTTAAAGGTTTGGTAGAATCCACCACATATGGGCATGGCAATTTCTCTCTTTTAAGGTTGTTATTGATTTGATCTTCTGACTTGATCGGCCTAGTCATATTTTGTAGTTATTGTGAAGTTATTGTGAAATTTTGATAGCTTGTGTATTTCAAGGAGTTGTTCATTTTAACTATTCTAATAAAATTCATGAAGATAGAGTCAGAGCAATAGCATAGCTGGTAGGGCTTTTGCCTTGTACATGGCCATCCTGGGTTCTATCCCCAGCATCCCATATGGTCCACCAAGCACCACCAGGAGTGATCCCTGAGTGCATAGCCAGGAATAACCCCTGAGAACTGCCAGGTGGGGCCCCCAAACAAACAAAAAATATTATTAACATAGACTTAGTTGTTCATAATATTCCTTTATTAACCTTTCAATAGCCATTAGTTCTATAATAATATGCCCTCTTTAATTTCCAAGACTGGAAGTTTATATCTTCTCTCACTAGTTTTGTTAGAAACTTACAGAAATTTTTATCGTTTGAAAGAATCAGCTTTTGATTTTATTGATTTTTCTGATTACTCCTATTTTTTTCAGATTTTTTATTATTCCTTTTCTTCTCCTTATGTAGTATTTAATTTGCTCATCTTATTTCTAGTTTCTAAAGTGGAAGCTTAGATTATTGATTTCAGATTGCCCTCCACACCATCATTGAGGACCCTAGACTGGGGCGTTCAGAATCTTCTCAACATATGCACAGCACTGGGGACTAAGCTCACTTCATCACTCTTGTCCAGGCACTTCCTCAGCCACTGAGCCACTTTCCAGGCCCTTTCTCACTGGGTTAAGCAGCTAAGCAGCT